GCAACTGTGGTGTAATTAGAACAATAAGATTTATGCATTTTCAACTTTGTCAGAGATCTTTGACAAAGTTGCACGCGATATTCGAAAAAGCTGACATTGTGTCTGAGAAATGCCAACGAACTTTATTCAGGAAAATCTGGCTTTTGAAATTCGAAGAGCGATGCCTCTTCGATCTCTGAACAAGTGGCTCTGTTGCCTCTTCTTTTATAGAGACATCAATTGTGTTCAAAAGTATGCTCAGAAAGTTGCTGCCTGTAGAAATTTTTCCCTTCTTGCATTTCTAAGATTTTATTTGACCTTATTTTTCCTTCATCATTTCTGAAAATGGCTTGCCCATCTAACATTTGCTTAGATTTGAGTCGTAGGAGTGATATAAACGAGCAGTGTTAGGATAATATATGGCGTCCTTCCTTCTTATCTTCTAATGGTCCTCTTACGGTTGGGGACTATGTGATGAAGAATAACATAACCGCTACTGTGGTAACTATGAATCTTCTCACTCCAAAGGATAACAGAATCCTTGCAAAACGGTCTGATGAGTCGGCTGTTCAAGACTCATTGGCTCTCAGTGTTCAATGTGCGGACTCTGTATCCAATATGGGCCAACGCCTACTTACTCGAACTCACCAAGTGCAATCATTGATGGCTGAGGTGGAAAGTCTTAAACAAGAGATCAGAGGGCTCAAGCACAAGAATAAAGTGTTACACGTGCTTGCAAATAATTACTCAACGAAAATGAAAAGAAAGCTTGACCAGCTACAAGAATCCAAAAGTCGGATTCAAAGTGATCACCAAAGGTTCGTTGCTAGATTCCGAAGGCAACTGATGTCTTCCTCTTCTAGTGTTTTGTCAAGTACTGGGGTGTCGCATGATCAATCTCCAGTGCCTCCCCCTTCTGGGGTATTGCCGAGTACTAAGGCTTCACATGAGCAACCTTTGTGAAGGCTCCATCCTGTTTGTTTGTTTTAACTCATGTGTATGTACATGTCTTTAATATCTCGGAGATATTAATAGATAAACTTTATTTCATTCAATGTATTGTGCTAAATACAATAAAGCATATACTTCACTAAGATGTGGTACTTCTAGACCAATATCAATTTATCTTTACCCTCACGAAGATAAATGATCATTCTTAGTGTCTACATCATTTGAGTATTCAACTCATAATCTTCAATCCATATGATTCTTTAATATCATAACTATCATTGATAAGATTAGTGTTGACATATTGATCGATCTGCAATTCAAGACAATATTTCTCTCAACACTTTATAATCTTTCTAGACTCTTTAGGAGTCCCAATCTAATGTCATCGACTCTTGCAGGAGATTTTAGTATAATGCAACAATATCATAATGAAAGTACTTACTAAGGCAATTTATACCATCCATTGGTATTTAAGTACATATTTTATGCTTTACCCTTCTAGGGTTTTCTTCAAGCAATCTGAATCCTTCAGGGATTTTCTACACTTCATGACACATTTTCCTTTGGAATATATACAAAGCAATTTGCTCCCATGTATACTTGAGGGATTTACTTATGGAGATATGATGTGGGCGACTTATAACCCTTCGTATATAATTCTCCATTACCTTGCGTCATATCATGTGAATGTATTTCACGGTATTACAAATGCCCATATGTAACCTTTTAGGTTCAACATCTTTTGGCTATTTGTATTGCATTCAAGTATATAGGTCTATTTTTCCATGTTCTTACAAAATTTTAATGGAATTGCCTTTCTCCATTTTGGCCAATAATTTTGTTGCTGGAAAAAGAACGGGACTCAATATCAACACAGCTCATTGATGCATTTAGTAGCTACTTGTAAAAACCAAAATTACCATTGGTTATCATCAATCTGTGATCCCATATTCTCATGTGCATGCGTATGCATAAATTTTTTTCATTTCTTTGGATATCCATTGCCTCTTCAAGGGCATTACACTATCTCTTCCAAGATAGTCATAGTTTAGAGAATGCGGATCATAACCTCCTTTTGAGCATTATAGAGCTTGGATTTTAATCTCCACTTCGAAAGTTGAGCCATTGGAACCTATGCGTCTATCATGCCTCATGCATGAGACATCAACATTCCCATGTCCGCGGATTGTCCTTTCTGGGACGTGTATCCATGCAGTGACTATCATGCTTCGGGAATGCAATAGTTCAGTAGTGCCATATTCTTCTTCTTTCAAATGACTAAACCTTTTGAGTTTGAAGGTCTGCCACGCTTCAGGCATGCAACAGATAAATCAATGACTGCCTCATCATATTGTCCAACAGGGACATTAATTCTTGTAGGTACATTTGCAGCAAGTATATGTGATTTCATCACTTTCGTTGCATCATTAAATGCATCTGACATTTGATTTGCATATCGTTACATCATTCAATTATTCTCACTTCGTTGTTATATTGATTGCTTCATGAATCAAAATAAGACAAATTCTTTTCGTTCTTCTGGAACGGTCTTTTCTCATCATTCTTCTGGAATGATATTTTCTCATCGTTCTTCTAAAACGAAGTTATTTTCTCCCCCTAACGGTGGGAAAATTGTCTTATCAAAATGACAATCCGCAAACCACGCGGTAAACATATCCTCAGTCAAGGGTTCCAAATATTGAATGATAAATGGTGTTCAACGTCAATGCCCAATCCGCGATGATGCCTCATTTCAGTACGTTGTGGCAGTGCAATAAGCACAAAGAATAATACAACCAAAAACTCGTAGATGTGTAATGTTTGTTAGTACCCAAACACGAGTTGTATTGAAAAATATTGATGGTTGGCAACATGTCTCAACCAAATCAATATTGCATCATGTAAAATGATATGTCCCATGTAGAAACTTGGCAATTTCATTTTCATTAGTAGAACACGGGTAATCAATTTCATCCGCTTAATAAATACTGCTGCTAAACCATTTTGAGTATGGATATAAGCAACTTCTGGTCCTTATTTAATAGTCTGTAGACTGAGACTCTTATGGCTTTTATTGCAATTAAGTTGAGGCACTACGGCACTTCAAACTTACTGTACTCATCAAGGAACTTTATGTCCTGATCTTAAGGATCAAGGGACTTCATGCCTGATCTTTTTGTATGATGGAACTTCGGGTCCAATCATTTTATATGATGAGGATCAAGAAACTGCAGGTTTTGATCTAATCAAGGAACTTCGGGTCCTATATATACTCATCGTAACAAAAGAAGTACAATAAATAAATCAAAGCAATAGGCGGTAATTCCAGCCATAATGAATCAATTGCATTTAAGTAAATAAAGCTTGTGACAAGGCTTTAATTCAGCAACATACATATAAATCAAAACTTAAAGCAGTAGATGGTAAAATCGTTCATGATAAATAAATTGCTTTAAAGTAAATAGAACTTATGAAAGGATTTTAAACCAACACCATTCACATAAATAAATACATATATATATATATATATTATTCTTCTTTCTTTCAGATGGTGTAACACCATCCAAAAACCGTTACCCCTTTTTTTTTTAATTGTTATTTTTTTTCTTCTTATTTGTTCACATGTTGCATTTTTCCAAAAAATTTGCCTTTTGTTTTCTTTCACATGGTGCAATGCACCTTTCCAAAGCTTTGGCCCTATTTCACTTTTTATTCTTTTCTGTGCACAATTCCAACACATCAAAGTAGCTCTTCTGGAGCTTTATGGTTGTTGTCTTTTCTTTGCCCTGAGCAGAAGCCATCCTACTTAATTATCTCTCAACTTCTTGTAGGTAATGGGGAGCTCTAGGGATTTTTCAAGCTTAATTCAGAGGACTGCAACGCCATCAAAAGACAGTGGCCATGGGCACTAGGCCGAGCAACGTAAGACTCAAAACTAGAATTATCTTGAGTCCTCGAGATCCGTCTAGAACAACACGATCTAGGTTTCCAAGTTTGATGAGATTCTTCTGGATCTCTGGAAACTAATTATTAAGTACGAGTTTTCTCATCTCGTGACGACTACAGGTCGTAAACTTCAATTCTAACCGAAATTCGGTGGGACGCTTCTGGCGTGGTGGGAGAGACGGAAAATGGACATACATTTGCTTGTTTTGTTGTACCTTTGTTTGTCCGAATTTATGGCGTTATGCTTTCCACTGACATGAGAGCTTCTCATGCTGATAACGTGTTATAAAATCGATGGTGTATGCAGTGGAATAAATAAAATAAGACACAAAATTTACGAGGTTCCTCTATAGTCAGTGTGACTGGAGTACATCCTCAGAGCAGCAGTAGTGCTTCCATTATAATAATAAGAGTACAAAATAACTCTCTCTATTATCCTGTCTCCTCTTCCTCTCTTTTCTCTCTTCCTCTTCTTCTCTTTTCTCTCTTCCTCTTCTGTGAGCCTCCGTGGCTTCTATATCCTCATTCGTTTTATAAACAAAGAGAATACTATTCACTTTACAAATTTTCCACAAATGAATAGTGAAAATACTGTGCATAAATAGTAACAAACTATTCATGTGGGCCATCCACATATTATTCACAACACTAAGACCTTTTTCTAGGATGTGATGTTCAATGAAGTATAATTAAGCTATTGTGGCCGGTCCTATTTGTCTCTGCATTTCTTGAAGCTTTTCAAACTTTTACATCAAGTTGTTTTCACTCTTTTTTCTATTCAATAAAATTCCTTTTGATTTTTATTATGAGTATACGTAACTAATTTCCTTTTTGCGTCTAGAAGATCCGCTGTTCTGTTCATCTCTTTCATCATGTCGATCACTCCCAAGTTTGTTGATTCATTGCGTTTTAATGACATGAGACTGATATGGAGTAACATGTGCTATCAGAGAACGGTTCGTGCTATTAAGACCATAAAGGAATCAGACTGTCACTTGCATATTTCTCTGCAATTTTCTGGATACACACACACACACACACACACAAACGAATGCAGTGTTGTTTTTAACAAATGACAAAGAAAGTACAATAGGAGACGGAAAATAATAATGGCACCTTCACTCTAAACAAAGAAAGGGGGCAAACTGCTCCAAGCGCTTTTCACTCTTGTTCTTTTCAATTAAAAGGTGTGTTCAAACAAATGAAGAAGAAAACCGTAATTGGCAATCAGAAATCACAAACGACTCACCATAATTTACAAAATAACCTACAGACTCCGAGAGCGAGACAAGCTATAACAGTTGCGCAGGATTCTTGGGCTGCAACATCTGGACAAGGGACCACAAAACATCCATTCTGTGTATGCTTCTGTTGTTTTGCCCCTGCAGTCATTCGGAATTCGAATTTAGTTCATGGTAAGTAAAAAAGCCAGTCCATTTTATAAGTGTCTACATTTTACTGATCTTACCTCAACCACAAAACATATCCATGTCTTGTCAGCACGGGCTTCTGTCACGCCTTTTAAGATCGTCAGACCTAAGCTCCTGATAGCTTCAGCTATCTCTAGAAAATGACTGCATTCTTCGCACATCAGCTGCACGGGGAAGAATTCTTTTAGGATACTAGGAATTTGATAAAGACAAAAAAAATCATATTGGAAAAAGAAACACATCAATAAGCTTCATAATCGGACTGAACTAGACACAATCAAGCACATCTCCTGGAGTTTATGTATAACACTCACTCAGAAGTATTACATACCTCTACAACCATCTGGCCATTCCTGTTGAGATTCTCCACTATTATTGAACAAACTTTCAGATTGCCACCCACCTCCACTGCCCAGCTTGATCCATGTTCATAATTGGAGGATCCTAGCATGCTTGTTTCCTTCGGACACAACTGTGAATTAAGCATTACGATCAATAAACTTTGTATATTCTTGCTAATGCTTGGTAAACAAAAAGGCCCTAATATACTTTTAACCAAAACATTTACCTTTGCATCAGTACATTTATTCAGTTTGTCTGCATGCTTAGTGACACTTTGTAGAAAGACCATGTGCTTGATTGTGCGCTCCAGCAGTGAATCAATACTACACTGTACAGTTAACATGAAACGTTTAGCACATATAGAATGAATAAGGACAACTTTTACAAGGCCAGAAGCCAGACAACAGTTTGGAAAGTCACCTTTGCTCCAGTAGGTATTATCTCCCGCAGTTCCTTAATACGATCTTGGATCAATTGCCTGTCCCTTGGCCTAGGTCTAGAATTCTCACCAGGTCTTGCCCTCTTGCTATTTTTAGATGGTCCAGAAGACCTCTCCAGCTGCTCACTACAACCACTTGGACAAGGTGATGAAAACCATTTTGGGGATATCACCCCGCATACCCCTGAAGAGCTCAAGCATTGTTGTGTGTCCTCTGCCATAAGAGAGGGCTGATCAACGGAATAGTTTTCTGAATCAACTGTATGGGTAGTACGGCTAGAAGGCTCTGGATATTTTTCAGTTGTCAAAAGAGACTGCATTGATTTACAGAAAGATTTTTCATTTTTAACAAGACTGCCACTTTGGCTAACATTAGCCACTACTGCTTCAAGAAGGTGCTCTTGACAAGCATCAGATGTCATCTGGCTAGTGTTCATCCCCTCAGGCATCTCAGGAGTAATTCTATCTCCGTTCTTCCCCACTACCCAATCAAAATAGTTACCCTTATTCAGAAAACCTGGTCCAAGTGCTTCATGCAGCTCACAGCCAGCAGGGAAGGTCATTGATGTACTAGATGTGTCCATGTGACCTGATTCAGTTTGAAACTCCAAGTTTTCCAGGCCCTTCTGAAACTTAATGACTGAGTGTTCCCTTACATGCAACACCTCATTATGGTGAAGATCTACCATGTCTGCATTACTCCTTTCATGTCCAGCAGTGTTGAGAAATGTTGTAGGTAAGTCTGCAAAATCACCTAAATTAACAATTTCTTTGACAGGATCATGTGATAATGGATGGGCATAGATCATCGAGGCCATTCCAGTATCTTTGCAGCCACTAGTCTCCCCTTTACGCTTCCTGCTATTAAGTAATTCTACACCTACTAGTTTGCAATGCTCCATACTGAGAGCGCTTGATTTTGACTGAGGTAGTTTGCCAATCTCAAGGCACCCTAAGTTCGATGACTCAAGTCCTCCATGGTTATTAACCAATTCAACTGCCTTTTTCAGACAATTTTCAGGCAATGGAAAAACGTAAGAACTATCACTGTCTTTCCCAAGATGTGGAAAAATGGACGACCAAATTTCTGAGCTTTCTCTGTTTGTGGCTGTATCTAAATTATTTACGCAATCAAGAACCCCTGAAGCCAAACCTTCCGGAGATATATTTGTCTGAGAAAAAGGGAAAAAAGGATACCAGGTGTCAATGACCTAACCTATCTGAGCACAAGAAAATTCAAAAATAAATTGCTTCACATGTGTACATGTATAAACCAGATCGCTGCATGCACACACGAGAGAGAGAGAGAGAGAGAGAGAGAGTTACCGAGCATACTGAACTGTTTATGCTCGACTGCTTTGGATTACGGATATCCTCTACTGGGGAATCTTGAAGAGTCCTAAAAACATCTGTGATTTGAGATATCAGCCTCACATTTTCAGCTACCTGCACCTCTCAAACAAAGGAAGGGAAAATGAGTATACATTTGAAATATATAATTTGCAACCATAAATAACTTATTTGCGGTGGTCGAAATGCAAACCACAATTATTATGCACAGAGTTTCAAAATGTCAACCACTATGGTCACCACAGAATTAAATAACAAAGTTGCATAGACTAGAACGGTAAAGTACCCAACACTATCTTCATAGTTATAACATCTCAACAGAATTAAGAAACAAGCACATGCTATCCTGTGGACTAGAACGATTGAGTATTCATTATTCACCAAAAACAAAGAACTTACTTTATTTAAAGAACCAAGCTGTATAACTCCATGCGGAACAACAGCCACAACAACAATGGTCTACAGGAAATAGAAAATAGTTTAATTCAGCATGACATCCAGAATATCAGGTAGAAACGTTTATATAATCATATCAAAGTAAAATGCTTACATAAGAAAAGAATTTGTCAGTGAAAGTGTCAAAACCCCAAACAAACTTGCATCCAGCCATCAATCTACCAGTCGCATACAGCAAGACAAATTTAAATCCATCTCTTTCCTAAGAAAGAACTTACCAGAAACGAAAGTTCATGACTATTATCATTCTGGTCAATGAATGGAGCATAAGGTTTCTATGTGTGAAACGGATGCCTAAATCAAACTAAAAAACAAATAAAACAATATTGCAGGCAGTGCCATAATTTTCATCTTTTCTCTTATTATGGATAGGCCCAGAAGAAATAACAGTAATTACCAAGTGTATCACATAAACAATACCCTCATCTATCTTTAATTTGTTTCCATTTCATCTTCTTTGTAGTATAGTATCTCATCAATTATCACAACTTCAAACAAATCAAAACACAGAGAGAGACAGAGAGAGAGAACAGGCATACCCTTATGCCAGCTGGAAATTGCCGAAAACATAAAATTGATAAACAATAAACGACTGCAATGGTTAATCAATGACACACATTTCAAAGTAAAACTATGCTAATCAGTACCATTACTGAAAAGTAATAAACCATTTACCTGAAATGGTGAATAGTTATTCTTAACATGATTATCAGCATAAATCCACTGATGCTCCCCAGTAACCGCCACTTGTCCAACAATCCTGAAGGGGAAGAATAAAGGAAAGGATTAATGCAAATTATGAAGTTTTTAATCTTTTCCTTTTGTTTTTTACATGCTATCAGTATCAGCTACCGTAATCAGATAGATGTAAACAGGAAAGACAGAATTGGAGGATAAGCTTAGTACAAAAATACTGGCAATGGTTTATGAATTTACAATTCTTCAACCAAAGCTTTGAGAATAGGCATTATGGTAACTAGAAAGTGACAAGAGTAATTACCCTTCCCCCAGAGTATATACGTGATTCGACATTTTAGCCACAGCTAGCCCAAGGGGATCGTGGGAATAATCGCTATCATGCAATTTATCCAGAGTCTTCCTACTCTCGGAAGAATCATGTTGCTCATAGTTGTCATAATAAGCATCTTCACAAGTCAGTACCCTGCATAATGCAGCACACCCCATGTCAAAATATTACGAGGGACATGTAACTGCTTATAATTCATTAAAAGGAGCTAGACATGTACATGCAAGTGAAAATTTTCTCAGTAACCACAGTTCTAATTCAATTATTACACGCCGAAACGGATAGCAAGATCTCTATTATACTGAAGACCAGATATGGGAGAAAATAATATGACTTAGGAACTACTTGTCCTCAGACATTACTTTCTTTCAGTACTACTATTTTCTTTTCGCTTTTCGGGTTGAGCTAAATTCACTTACTCTCAACCATACAACACACACAAAAACAATTAGAATTGAAATAAAAGTGCATCAGTAACAAGAAGAAAACAAGTAGGAAAACTCACATTCGAGCTCGATGCTTGAGTTTCCAGAAAATGGCATAGTTCCACTCTGTATTGAAGCAGAGGCTTCTCAGAATATGATGCAAGTCAGTCCCCATCTCCTCCTCCCAACTCCAAAGCTTTTTTTTTTTTTTAGTATTCCTAATCAGCCTCTAAACAATAAACACCCAAACAAACAAAACCCCAACCCAAAATTTTAATTTTGGCAATTTTGGCGCCTAATTTCGTGCTCTAACTTCCCCTATACGACCCTCTACCCGCCTGCTTCCTCCGTAGCCCCGCTCGCCGCTTTATCGGCGGTCCTACCGCCGCTAACAGCAACCGATCCGGCCCCATTCCCCCTCACTCTTTAACCGCAACCTCCGTGCTCCGCTGCCAATACACCACGCTTTCCTCAACCCCCTTCACAGACTCTCAATTCCAAACCCTATAAATACAGAGTCAGAGGTCTCGTTACAGTCTCTGCATTCAGCCATTAACTTGTACGGAAACCTCGAAAATTCTACAAAATAAAATCGAACAAACAATTAGAGAAATTGAAAACTCCCCCCGCAGCTTCCTGACGAAACTTCAACGAGACGCGATCGATTTGAACCTAGCTTATATCCGACGACATGGATCTCTCACAGCAACAACTACAAAGGTAAGAAATTTTGAAAATTTTAATTTCTGGGAATTGTGAGGATGAACTGTTCGGATTCAGACTGAAGATCTGAGAGTTCAGCAGCAGCTCGCTGAAGAGAGAGAGAGAGAGAGGGTGGAGTAGCTCTGAAAGCTTGAAGCTTTAGCTGCGAAATGAATCAAGTGTAGCAAATTTCAAAGCTTTGAGCTGCATTGGCTGCCATTTTTAACGATAATGCAGCTTTTTCCTTTTTCTAGAGAGAGAAAAAGTAGAGAGAGGGAGAAGCTTCAATGGCTTTTTTTTCTTTCAGAGAGAGAGAGTGAGAGAGAGAGTGTGAAAAAGAAGGCACTTTTTGTGCGAATTGCGACTCGTTTAATATAAGGAGTTTACCTTCGCACGCTGTTCATCTTTGCTTTTCTTACAGTGCGCCGGATGAGCTACAGTGCGCATCCTTGTGCGATCACTGACCGCTCGCCACTAAAACGGTAAAATCCCCCTTTACGTGATCGTACTCTGCGCATCCTGCGCACTTTAGCACGTACCTCCTTTGTGTTCTGAGAGTGATGGGAAAGGGTTAAGGAAAAATAGTGGCTCAAGGCCTAGGAGGAAGAGAAGAGTGATGAGCAATTGCGGAGTTTATCATTGATTTCTTTTATATTTATATTGAAATTAAATTAATCTTAAATTTGGGGGTATGAGTACACTTTCTAGGTAGTGTCCTTTGATGGCAAACAACATGATGCCCATGTGAGGCAATCTGCCCTCCATTTTCAAGGGTACAAACAATCCCCACCTCTTTTCCAAACAAAACAACAAAATCAAATGAACTTACCCTCTCTCCCTACTCCTTTTTTTTCTCACTGATCTTTTTGCCCCTAAGTTGTGAAAATTTACACCCCCTCATTTTCCAATGTTCCCTTTCTTACAGTTACTAAGTTACCGGCCAATCATCTTTGTGAATTTCGAGATGCGAATTCCATACTATTTCTAACATTACGAGAAAAGTCAATAATCTTAGTAGCTTACGATTTATTGGTATTCATCTAAGTTGAAGGTTTTAAGTTTGATTCTCATAATTGAGACTTCAATACTTAATTATGCTTAACCCATTTTGTGGCTACATGATTCAGCCGAAAGTCGAATCCCAAATATCGTTGTAAAAAATGTTGAATGAGAAAGATATAGCAACCAAACATGTTTTAGCATGCCCAACCTTAGCACACAACAAGCAGAGCGATAACTTAGGTCTTAATTTCTCCCTCACATATTAGGATTGACCTGGCAGAGAAAGAGTCCTCTAATCTGAGAAAAAACACATTTAAGCACTTAGCTTGCTGATTGAACTCATTTCCGGGAGAAAGACGGAAAGTGAATCACACATAGGGAAATAAGAGACCTTTGCGTGTGCTTATAAGTAATTGGGATACTTCTTATATTGTCAATTGGTTTTATGGTGGAACCTCAATTTTCTTCGTGGTATTAGAGCAGGTTGTCACATATGCGAAGCCCAACGATCACATGTGCTCCACGCCACCCAATTAATGTTGTCCGCGTGTTAGGCTTGAAAATTCGTCACACGTAAGTGGGCGTTTAAGAGTGAACATAAAAAATAAAAAAAAATAAAAAAATAAAAAAACCTTGCATGTGCTTATAAATAGTTAAGTTACTTTCTATATTCCACTTGGTTTTATAGTAGAACCTCAACTTCTTTTAACTCAAATGAAGTTTAATTTATTAGTTTTTTAAGATACAACTAAAAGATGTGAAAATAAATTGATTGCATACTCACAATCCCGATTTTTATTTTTAAACAATTTAATTTATGGGAAGACATTTCAAATTTACAAGAGTACACAATATTGTTGCCAACTGTCCTAACTCCTACTTGCATGAGGCCCAATTTAATAGGATCAGGATCCTCTCCTGATCTTTGTATAGAGATCCTCATGATCAAGAAGTGTGGGTCGTTGAATGAAAATCTAATGGCTACAAACAGAGGGGTCCCTTTAAAGTTATAATAATTATAGTCGTTAGAATTTCATCCAACGGCTCACACTTCTTGATCATGAGAATCCCCATACAAAGATCAAGAGAGGATACTGATCCAATTTAATAATGATTACAAATAAAATAACAAAAGTTACTTTTTTAAAGCTTAATGAGATCAAATCTTTAATTGACATTTCATATACACATGTCACATCAGTTTGTAGTATGTACACATGTAACTTTCTTCCTAATCTACCAAAGAAAAAAAAAGGTTTTAACGAAAAGTTTCCGATATTGTTTATTTTAACGAAAAATCATATTTTTACACTAAAAAGTCAATTATGGTACTATTCACTTTACCCTTTATTTTGTCATTTTCGTTAAAACTCAAAGTTTTCATACTCTTTTCATTATTTTGCCTAAGAAAAAATTGGTCGCCTTCTACTTGTTTCTTGTTCCACACCATTACTCTCCTCATTCGTTTTCCCCTAACCGACTCCTTATCATAATTCTGGTGTATGAATTTGAGCTTCAGTTCAAAATTTACAAGTCCACATATAATTTTGAGCTTCATGTGTGAATTGTGAGTTCTATGTAGTCACACATCTATACGTACTATTTTGAAGTCATAAAAGTGTATAAACAAGAAAAAATTATTCTTTATTTTCATGTGAAACAAGTGTGTGAAAATTGCTCAATTTACTTTCCGTCCCATTCCTCCGAAAACCCAGAATAATCTTTGTTTTTGAATAACCAAAATGAAAATTTATATGATACAAAAAGAATAATCTTTGTTCATAAAGAAGATTTGTATGATACGAAAAGTTTGTAACTCAAGTAGTTAACAATATGTTTATTGCACTTAACATCTTAAGTTTGATTTTTCTTCTCAAGTATTGACTTTTATTTTTATAAAAGATAACGTTAGTGGATTAAATCGTTATATATATGGGGGATACGTGGATCAGTGAGGATCTCACCTGCACCAAGATGCATATACATTATTTCTTTATGCCAGTACGGTAAAACGTTATCTACTTTGAAATATTGATTTATAAAAATTGCGACTCGAGTATTATTGGAAACATAAAAGTAGAAGGGAAAATTGCCATTGGATGCTCATCGAGTGCCATTCAAGCATGATGATAATGCTTCCATAAATCTAGAGATAGAACTACAATTTATTTCGATTTAAGGAGGTGTGGTCAGGTGTTGGCTAGCTCCTTGGTTTTCATGACATATTCATGAAGTAACCTTTCTTGCACTGCACCAGCAGGACACCATATTCGAATCCCATGATTTGTGTTTTAACAGTGCCATCTTCAGTGATTATTTTTGTCATGGATTTATAATCATTCTCTCAATTTTTATATATAATTTGTATGTTTTTTGCTTTGAATATATTTATTTAATTTGTATTTACTAGTCATGAAGACAAACAAACAAAATAAAATAAAGGAGCACACTAGGTTTTTTTTTTTTTTTTGCTCAATCAATCATTAACAATTGAAATTCTTTTTTTTATTTTCCCTCCCTAATCAAATCACATTATCTTTTTATCGCTTTAATCCAACAGATTTAATTTGTCGGAAGTTATCCAAAGGGGGTTTAACCTACCTAATTCACTAGCAATATAATGGCCATTTAATCATGGTTTTTTAACTTATTTAAATCTTGATTTTAATGAAAGTATTTTTTATGAATTATTTATTTATTTAAGGAAATAATCAAGTCAACCAGCTAATTAAGCCAGCTTATGCATGAATAAGCGCAGTTAGTGATGCAAGGGATATATCATTTTCCCATGTATAGAGAATAGTGAAAGGAAAGAGTAGAATCATGAGTACAAAGAGACAAAGGAGAATGATTATTTGCTTTCTCATCCCATATGGATTATGATGTCATAGGATTTCGGTAGTTCTTGTAGTCAAGAGTATTTACATTCACATTTAGTCAAGTTCGAATTCTCTTCTTTTTTTATTTATGCATCATCGTACTTTAGCATATAGATCGGACCATCATCCAAAATCTGGACATAGTTGTGTGGTGAAACCAAGCTATGATACCACAAATTCATGTGTTCATTGCTACTAGAGGCCAACTTATAAGGAAGGGTGCCCAAGAGCTTGTGTACCATCATAATATAAGTTTTCTAATAACATTACGGTGTTAGTCAAACTTAAAACCTGCTCGATTAGACTATAAACTGAAAATACAATGAAACTGACATTATATTTCTTTCCATGAATGAGTACTTGAAGAAAGAAAACCATTCTAAATCCTTTCCCCTCTTTTTAATAAAACCTAAGAGAAAAAAATTTATCGATTCCACCTTAAAACCAGTAATCAAGTACTCACAAAATTAGTAATGAGATCAACTAGTGGGTAGTTGATCCGATTCTCATTCATTACATTCCATATTCCTCAGTTTCTCGATTTCCTAATCTCTCTTTTTATACCTGATAAGTAAACACGTCATTATAGAGAAGAGACGATGTTTAAAATTTTCAACTTGCTTACATATGTAGATTCCAAGAGGGACCTTTTAATTGCTTTCTTTATCTCACTTGACATAGTTGGGAACCAAGATCATCCCAAGTAGATCTTGTAGCTCAGCTTTTTACAAACATGTAATCTTAACTAGGTGACTCCTTAGTCTCCCTTGTCATGAGTACTAGTTTGAGATCTTCCTTCTCCCCCTCAAGTCAATATCGACGGGCGATTGTGGAACATCCATTTGAATTCAATGTCTACATTATGGATGTGTGACACTAGTGGCCATTACATGAATAAATTACATGATATTCCACGTAATTTATTGTTTCATTTTCCAAAAATAAAAAAGCAAGAGCAGCTAGATAAAAGAAATGTGTGTTCATCTTTTTCTATTTTCTTAGAGGCTTGTTAACTTGCAAAACTCCCAGTGGACCCATTGTGGACCAAACAAATCAAGTGATAGAGAATCCAATGATGATCACGATTTATATTTTTGCGTTTTGATTTATCAACTTTTCATATTTTTAATAGGATATTCATAATTACATAGATCAAATTGAACTTTTAAAAGCCAAACGATTAAGAAAAAAGAATAGCAGCATGCAAAATAGTAACATATATTTCATTTTCTTTTCACGCCATTTTTTTAGAAACATATCATATTATGTTATGACATTTTTTTTTCTTCATTGTTGAACATAACACCCCATACTTTGAAAAGCTTATATTTTTTTTGCTACTGAAAATTTTGAAGTTCTCTTCTGTATTTCAATGATCATAAACATGAACATTAAAACAATTAAATAAAATAATTAGCAAGATAGTTAGTGTTCCAACCTTAAGATATTGGTATTGTTTGGAA